GGGGCCTGGTGGGGATCCCCCCATGGTCCCCTCCCCCCTTTCTCCAGCCCCCCCTCACTTACCGGCACAGAGTCTGGGTCCAAAATTCTGTTTTGGTATTTCTGATTGTCCCACACTCAAGTCATGCCCTTATTTGTGACATTCATGTAATTGTTCTTACTTTGATTATAACCTCTTTTGATATGGGACATTTCAGTACGCATATCCAGTAATCCCTTGTTAGGCCAAGCCTCTCTTGGTCTGTTATCTGGTACCATGTAAACCAATACAGCCTATTTCATGGTTGGGTTGTCAGCAACTAAAACTGCTCCTCCACCTGGGCTAGCATGGATGAGGAGGGTGTGTGGATGCCCAGCAGGACTAAAAGCAAGACCTGTCAAAGGGCAGATAAGTTCCCTAAGAGCCAACAGCCATCCATATGGACGCAGGAGGAGACAGTCCCATTGTGCATAAAAGGGGGCAAAGGGGCCAATAAGCCCTCCTGGCTGAACATGGTAGTCCAGGAAAGTCTAAGGGCAAAAAAAAGAGGTTTATAGGCTGTGGAAACAAAAGGTAGCTACCAAGGCGGAGGATATCTCCCTGGCTCACACTTGCAAGGAATCAGTTAGGAAGGCCAAAGCAGGATTAGAACTTAAGCTGGTGACAAAAATTAAGGACAACAAAAAGTCCTTTAGGTATATAGGGAGAAAAAGGAAGGTGCAGGATAGCGTAGGACTTCTACAGAACAAACTAGGGCAATTGGTGACAGAGACGGGGCACAAAGCTGAGCTCTTCAATGAGTTCTTTGCATCTATATTCCTAGACACAGACCAAGACAAATCTCCCAATTGGATCATAAATAGACACAGGAGGAACACCAGCCTACTAACTGTTAGTGCAGACTTAGTGAAGGGGCACTTGGAGGGGCTGGATGTGTTCAAATCAGCGGGCCTGGATGACCTTCATCCAAGGGTGCTGAAGGAATTGGCCAGTGTCATAGCAGAGATGCTGGCATGGCCGTTTGACCATTCATGGTGCTCCAGTCAGGTCCCAGAGGACTAGAAAAGGGTCAATGTGGTCCCTGTGTTCAAGAAGGGGAAGAGGGAGGAACCTGGTAACACTAGGTCAGTTAGTCTCACTTCTGTCTTTGGGAAAACTCTGGAAAAAATCATTAAGGATCACATTTGTGGGAACCCAGTGGGGAAATAATGCTGAAAGAAAATCAGCATGGGTTCATTGCAAGTAGATCCTAATCTTGTTTCTTTTTATGACCAGGTCACAAAATACGTAGATGCAGGACTCAAGGTAGATGTCATCTACCTAGACTTTAGGAAGGCCTTTGATATGGTATCACATTCCTTTCTCGTAAATAAACTGACAGGCTGTGATGTAGATGATTACACGGTCAGGTGGGTGGCAAATTGGCTTAGGGGTCACACCCAGAGAGTGGTGGTGGATA